ATCTCTATACATGCATATCATAAAGTACTTTCAATTTTACCTTAAAATCGACCTCTAGATAACGCTTTGCAGACTTCAGGCGTTCCTTTTGTTCCCTTGCCCAAGTCATTCCCATAAATTCATCGCCCAATCTGGTTACTACGTCTGCGAGATCGTCGAAGGCTTGACTACCTGCAGAACTTATATAATCGAGACCTTGGAGAGACTTTCGTACAGAGGCGGAAAAAAGAGTCAGGATTCTTAAGAGTGTTCTTCGGCTCAGTGGAGTGGAGCCACATTCCTGTGGGTAAGTCAAATAATGCGTGACTATAGACTCTGGTATTGTCATGCGAATAACATTTGGCCCCGTGATGATCTCTTAAGTTGACAGTTTTACTGATTTCTCCCCGAAAGGAAAGTCCTGGCTTGAGACGTAAAGTCTTTAAAATCACTTCTCTAACATTTTGCATGCAACTTTATAACTAGATGCTGCTATGTTATGAAAAAGCATAAGGAACCATCTGAGAAGCAAAGTCTAAAAAAACACTAACATTTTGGATGCAAACTTTAGAACTAGATGCTGCTATGTTACCAAAAAGCTGTAAGGATGAATTAATGAATTGCTATTTTGCATATTCAACATCAGTATTTGTTTCAATGACAGGAACCCTCTTAGCATTACCCTTTGCCTCTAGAGGGGTCTCACACAAAAGAGATGTAGTGCATCTGATTTAACCTGTAGACACTGTGTATGTAAACCCCATATCAAATTCAAAACTTATAGAGCTGGTTATCAAACTACACCAATGACTTTCAAATAAAATGAATCGTAAAATTTTCCTAGATGATTTAGTGCAAGCGTATAAATCATTATTATTATCATCACATTTTGAAAGCTACATGTACAAGTCAAAGCAGACTTTGTTTCTTGTTAATTTAATTTGTTTCTCAGTTTGTGGACAGAAAACGCTAAAAAAATTGTCTTCATGTTACCATATTGAATCGCAGTAAAATTTTACAGAACATTTTTAAAACAGGATTAAAGAATCATGTAGTGATCGTACAAAAATCACTCTCAGGGGAAAAATATTTCAAAATAAAAATTTGTAGACATGGACTATAAACTAGCTACTGTCCAAAATTTGAGGCTACACAACTTGTGTGCAGCACTCATCAGATAAAATTGCCAAATGCGAATTTACATTATAACACTGATTTGAAATACGCATGCGACCATTGGAAATATGATAGCTACATTAAGCGAACACTTTTACAAAACAAAGGAAAGTTGGAAATTACAAATAAACTCTGTTACTATTGAAATACAAGAGAAGCTTTAAAATTTAAAATTTAACATTTTTCAGGAGGAATTTCTTTGCATGTCTACATGAAGTTATCAGCTCATTCTGTTTGTTCAGAGAAACTAACTCAGGTTTGCAAATAATAAAGTACTTCTCCCAGAGGCGTGGGTACATCGATTTGAAGCGGGGTTACATGGGGCAGCTTCCTAGTGACTTTGACAATAGATCAAAGTTCAGAGTCACTTGAAAGATTTTAAAGCAAGCTATCCCATATAACCCCACTTCAAATCGATGTACCCTATGCCTCTAAGAAGTACCTTTGTAAACCTGAGTTAGCCTCTCTGAACAAACAGAATGACCTGATAACTTCATGTAGACATGCAAACAAATTCTTCCTAAAAAATGCTAAATTTCAACTTTTAAAGCTTCTGTTGTCACACAATAGTAACAGCGTTTATCTACAATTGCCAACTTTCGGTTGTTTTGTGAAAGCATTCACTTATTGTAGCTATCATATTTCCAACGGTTGCATGTGTATTTCAAATCAGTGTAATAATGTAAATTCGCATTTGGCAATTTTATCTGATGAGTGCTGCACACAAGTTGTTTAGTACAAAACTAAATAGTAATAAAATGCCAAGTCAAACCTACAGCTGCTCAGTTGGTCATCTGTTATAATCACGCTCTAGTTTACTATTGAGCAACTCTGAAAACAGATCTGCTAATCACCTTGTTTATATATAAAATATATATAGAGACTGACGAGTGAAATGCCAAAATTTACTTGTCAATATAATTTTTCGATAGCTCTTACAAAAATAAATCTATAAAGTCTCCATGGCCCCCTAAATAGTCATAAATACATGCATGTATCTTGTAAGCCAGGGTTCTACTTCACAGTTTTTCATCTTTATTCTTCAAGTAAGGATGCCAGGGATTATACATGAGGCACTACCAATTTTACTTCATCCTATGAATAAAATACAATTACTATAAGCATAAAAGGTTTGTTAAATTTATGTGTAAATCCGTATTGGAAAACCTCAAATCAAGCTTGCTGTACTAAGGAAAATATCATAATAAATCAATCGGTAAATTTTACACAGCAGTTTGATTAATAGGTTAATCCACCACCATTAATTCCCATTGCTGTCCTTTTTGAAACTAAGGTTACATTAACTTCCAATGTATAGCTTCTGATTGTTAAAGAAACATTTACAACCAGAGGTAATTCCATACATCTTAAGCAAACTTTACAACTGAACTTTATCCTGGAAACTTCAGCTTAACTTAATCGTACGTACAAGACAACCCAGGAAGACAACAATTAATGGCTTACCTGCTGTTGTTGACTCGTACCTCCGTATGTATCGATGTTTTCACCAGCTGTGTGCCGCCAAAAACTGCTTGAAATCGTGCACAGAGAAGAAGTAAAGGTAAACTGAATTCTGTCCGCCAAAGTAGAGTTTTTCAATAGTGAAAAAGGACCAAGAAATCGATGGAAGCTTCGACATTTCACACCTTTCAAAAAGGACGCCAAAAAATGGAGCGAGAACCGAGACAACCTGGTATCTAATGTGGAAAACCGCTGATCCGTGTTTGTGCCAGGTCGGGCACTCGGAATGCTGATGTAGGTCGTTATGCATTTCGTTACAAGTCGTTTCGTTTCTCATTTAAAGTCAATTTCGTTTCAAAAGTAACCTCGAGGGAAAAATCCAATTAAAGTGATACGTTTTGTGATTTCTTGTTCAAACGTAATGCAATGATATTGTAATGCAATGATAAGATATGATGACAGGGATTCGACTGAGGCAGCTACTGGGCCGTTACAGTTAGAACACACCTTTAGCAGTTTCCTTGCCCTGCCGGCTCCGGCGTTAAACTCATCCCACAGAAGAAATGTCTTTGTCTGAAGGTCTCGCGACTTGCACCGCTGAATACACCAAAACTTCTCCGAAACGAGCTTGATTCCTCTTACTAACCAAACTTTACGCAGCTTTACGTGTCTCTATTAAATCTCCGTAAAGCAGTCTGGTTAACTTTACGGAACTTTACGTATCCCGTAATGTCACGTAAATTTGCGATTTCGTGCTGTTCACCACATAACCACTTCAGACGACTGACAGGTCACACAAAGAGAAATCGCTTTGTAGTGATTACCCCCAAAACGCCGGTCAAAACCGAATGAGGGGAATTCGATGTCACAACAAAGTGTGCAAAATTTTTGACAAAACACATACGCTGCGCCCACAACATGAAACAAAAAAGTACAATTGTTCTGGTCAACGAGCGAATACACGGTCGTGCTCCTGCAATATGCCCATATTCGATAAGAATATTCCAGGTCTACATCACAGTTGAACACGCCATGAATACTCTAGAATTCTATAGCTTTGGCGTCAAGATCACGTATTCAACGATAAAAGTATACACACGCAGATCGCACATACTTTGAATTCATAGTCTAAACTTTGCTTCCAGGAGAATGCTATGCACCCGAACTGTTACCTTCTTTCATAAAATTCTTTTTGTAAAGGGTTCGCCATCATACTTTAGGAGTACGACAGATGTGTGGTATACTTTAACGAAAATCCACGAACGATTACGAAGGGAGCATATTTCACTATATTCGATACGAATATTCCAGGTGTACGTCACGTATTGTGTGCGCCTTAAATACTCCAGGATTCTATTGCGTCACAATCACAAATTCGAGTCTAGAATACTCTGGAATACTTTGGTTTTCACGCAGTGACTTGAAGGCATTGGATTATTCCTCAGTTACTGTGGTGGCAGGTAACCGCGCCATAACTTTACTACATTGAGAAGTTTCGCTATTGATTCTAGATAAACTACAAATACCTATTTTGCAGATCGGTATGGCAGCAGCAAACTTCACTGGAAATGGACAGCAGAAAACGCTCGAAGACTTATTTTGTTCGCCCGATTTAACTGCTGGACTACACGGCCAGTTGATATTTATTTTAGTTTTTAACTCTTTTCTGTCCGTTACTGCATTTCTTGGGAATGCTCTGATCCTAAATGCTCTTTACAAGGAGTCTTCGCTTCATCCGCCCTCCAAACTCTTACTTCGTTCCCTTGCAACAACTGATCTCTGCGTCGGTCTCATTGCAGAGCCTCTGGCTATTACCTATTGGATGTCTGTGGTGAATGAACATTGGAATACTTGCCCTCACCTTACAGCGGCAAGTTTTATAATAGGTTATAATCTGTGTGGAGTGTCGGTCGGAACAATGACTGCAATAAGCGTGGACAGACTTCTCGCCCTGTTGTTGGGGCTGAGATACAGACAAGTTGTAACTTTAAATCGAACCTACGTGATCGTTTTTACCTTATGGCTTTTGCCCGCAGTCTTTTCAGCAATGTACTTGTGGAATCCCCTCACAACCTTATGGTATGGCATCGTCAATATACCACTGTGTCTTATAATCTCTATTTCTTCTTACACAAAGATTTTCCTCTCCCTCCGTTATCATCAAAATCAAATACGAGACCGAGTTCAACAACCGAACCAAACAAATCAACTTAACATAGCGCGATACAAAATGGCAGTGTCCAGTGCAATATGGCTGCAACTGACGCTGGTCGCTTGTTATCTTCCCTATAGCATAGTGGAGGCTTTGCGGGCCAAGAGTGGACTATCTGAATCTCTTTATCTTGCTTGGATTTATACGGCCACGTTAGTTTTCTTAAACTCGTCATTAAACCCGATTCTTTTCTGTTGGAAGCTAAATGAAGTCAGAAAAGCGGTGAAGGACACAATTAGACAAGTGCTTTGCCTTCGTTTTTCGAGTTAGCTCTTGTAGTCCAATATGATGAAAAGTTAATGATGTTTTAAGACTGGGATTTAAAAGTTCTCGTGAGCATTACCTGAAATTAAAAGCGATGCTTACTCATTTTGATATACCAGTATTAAATGTTTCTCTAGCAATTAGATGGCCATCATTGCTGTAAATAAAAAAAAATTGTTTCATACTGTAAGTTTGCAACTGCGAATAGAGATGAAAAACAGTAAACTGCCATTTTTTACCGGGTGGACTACATCACACAAAATACAGTCAGAGTTAAACAGTTGGTGTTTTTTGATGGTTTTTTGGTTCATAAAACAGGGAGAAAGCACGGAGTTCTTATGAGTGAGTTATTCCGACAAGAAATGTCGTGTACGACGTAAAAGATTATGCAGTTAATTTTTACATAACCGCCTCGAGTTTAGCCCTATTCTGGTGTTTCCATGATTCGTCTTTAGTTCCAAAACCTACGGAATATTCACAAAATAAATTATTATAGATTTATCGAATAAAACAAGGGTGCTGTGGAATACGTAATGAACACTCACGCGGGCATTAATCGAAAATTATGACTTAAGTCTTACTTTAATTGAGGCTTCAATAAATTTCATTTTTTAGACCATGCAAAATGCTTGAAATTTTGTTTTATAGATGGCACATATTTCTGCAGCTGCGAGTGCAAAATGAGTTCACTACTAGAATACAGAAATTAAAATCGACAGGTGGGATGTGTTTTTATGAGAAGCAGTATTTTATAATGAACATAAAATTTCGAAGCTACACTCTATTCAGTGATTGAACTTATGCCTGTTTAGAATTTGAGAATTGAATTGAGGTGAGCGTCATTCTTGTTAAACTTTTCAAACCGTTCCATTAAGAACAATTGTTTGTGTTGCAAACATCTTTCTTTCGAGACAGCTCTTCCGTCTTTAATATGAATTGAAGCGTTTATTTATTGAAAGAAGATCGACTTCCAGACTTAACATGCGTTTTCATCTTAGCGGACTATACCATAGATGAGATAAATGTGTCGTAAAAAAATGTCGATAAAGTTGTTGGAATAGAAGACAAAAATTATTCAGCGGCAAATTTAATCACTTTCAGGAAAAACGGGAAAAGGTTAGGACTTCCTTTGTTAGCAAGGCTCATATTTCTTGGCTAAATATTTATTTATCGTGGGAAATTAATATTAAATATAGCGTGGGGATAAAATAACTTTTAATTAGGTACATTATGGAGAAAACTGAAGTTATCAGTAAGGTTTAAGGTGGCTCCGTATAGCTTTACGATTACATGCGCGCATAGGACGAAAGCTCAAGTAATCTGCGCGCGCTCAAGGGAAAACGTCAGTGTTTTTCGATTTTTATGACGTCATGAGCCGTCTGAACAACCTTGACTTTTTACCAATTCAAAATTTCAGGCAATTTCATTTCCATGATGTGGCAAAGTAAGAAAAATTTCACCGAAGGAAAGTATACATATAAGGAGTTTAGGCCAAAATGAGGGATATGTCTGCCTGTCATTGAATGAAATGTTGCTATAGTGTCGGCCTTAATCCAAAAATCGACAACCAAAAACTAAGCCTTATTTTGACGGTACCCATACTGGTAAATCTCTACAGGGAAAACTTTAAGAGAAATTAACTAAGTTTTCCTTTCTAACATGCGCTCTATAGGGAGGGTGTTCGTAAATACTCTAGGGAGCTACCTTAAAGATGTGCGAGTGATGAATGAAAAAGAGTCATTTATTTTACAAAAACACCTTTGTATAGTTGTTCAACACGGTTACGTTTCGCAAACCATGCAGCCACTTTCATCCGTGTCATTGGTATAAACGGCGGATGCCGTAAATCATCAGCTGTTTAAATTAGGGATAGTGGGCGATCGAGAGATCGAGGTGAGCCATCTTCGACTGAGTAGAATCGAGCCATTTGACGTTCGAAATTAAGTGCAAAACTTAAGGGTCTCGAATAGGACAAACACTCGCGAATACATTACAATAACCAGTAGATTAAACTTACGCTTGTCCTAAAACAGAATGTGCACGTACTCTTTGCTTACTTTATCTGTCTGTTAGGACTTGGCCGCGTTGTTCAAAGCCCGATTACGGCAGGACTTAAACTAACATAGGCCCTTTGCAGCTAAGCCATCACATGACCTACTTTTCATAAAATTATGGGTTATAACTTAACAAATGCCAGAAATGAAAAAAGAATGTCGAAAATATCAAAATGGTCAAGTTTGAGGCCACCATCATTAAGGAATGAGATTTTATGACAGTCTGAATATTTAAAAGAATAAGAAGATTTGTATGGAAAAAGTTGTTGGAGAGCAAGGTCTTGCTCTCCANACGTGACCCCAGCTGCAAAGGGCCTATTCTGAAAGAAATTCGAAGTTTTGTTTTTCACGGAACTCGAATCTTAAGGTATTGAAGTTTTATTTTGACAAGTACTGTTACTGTAAGTTTAAAACTCGTTTTCTCAAAACGAGTTATTTTCGCCTTCTAGAAAAGATATCTCAAGAAGGATTTATTCAATTGAGCTAAATTTTTCAGGATTTGTTGTTCTGAGTACGCTCTGTGGGATAAGCATAGAACTTTTCCATCCAGTGCTTTCTGTGGAAGTTATGTGTTGAAACGTATGATAGATCTTCTGTATCAGATTTAACTGGTCATCATTTCACGTGTTTTTAACTTTTCAAAAATCTCTATGCTTATCCTAGCAAGCTATTTGTCTTCTTTTGTAAAATATAAAAATTATTCCTTTTGATCAGTTCTTGTAGGAGTTATCTTTTCTCAAGTAAGCCCTGGCATTTCCCAGCAGGTGGCAAATTTAATCAGCCGGTGTCAGGTCACAATACAGTTATAGGGTACAAAACTATTTTTTTCATTATCTTTGGTCTTTGAGCTTTTTCAAAATGTATACATTGCCATGGATTGGAGTTAACTCTTAGCTACGAGAAAATGTTTGAAACATGGTGTGTTTCTAGGTTAAGTCCCTCCTTAAGCTGACCCAGGATTAGCGAGAATTTCCATTTGAGTTCTTTAACTTCGCGGTGAGATTTTGTTTGTATTGTTTTGGCCTTTAGAAAAATTTATACTTCGGTTAAATTTTAATCCTGGGTTAGCGTTAACCGGTTTCAGAACAACCCGGCCCAGGTTCAGAACAACCCGGCCCAGCAAGTTAACCTGATGTGAGGCTGCGATCCAATCGAAAACCAGCACTCGGTCAGCGGTCAACTTTCAAAAAACACTGAGCTCTAAACTTGAGCCCGCGATACTATCGCGTGATACTGATCATACTGGTCA